GGGGGAGCTCTCGAAAAAGCGGCCGCAGAAGACAACTCATATTAGGGAATTGGTGTCACTTCGTTGCTCTCTAATGAAGTGTAGACATCCCTCAGAATTTTAAAATGTTTACTGTCAATGAAGGTGATATACCAAAGGGTTCTGGTCCAAATTATCCTGACCATGTATGACCTAGACTTGTCCCAATCATCTGCGATGGGTCATCGCTCCAACCGTGTATGACCTAGACTTGTCCCAATCATCTGCGATGGGTCATCACTCCAACCGTGTATGACCTAGACTTGTCCCAATCACCTGTAATGTGTCATGACTCCAACCATGGTGAGCCCTTCCACCAGAAGAGGTAGAGGTTCTCCCAACACCTTGGTTTTACAGTCTTTCCTCATCATGACCATGGGCAATAAGAACCTGGTACACACAGACAGGTGGATGGTCCCGTTCCTCCAAGCAGCAGAAGGAACAACTTCTGGATGACCTTAGAGAAGTTCCAAGGTGAGGGGGTCATCGCTCCAACCATGGTGAGTCCTTCCCACCATCAGAAAAGCTCTTGTAAATGTTATCCTGACCTTGTATGACCTACACTTGTCTTAGTCACTTGCGCTGGGTCATCACTCCAATTGTGGTGAGCCCTTCCATCAGCAGAGGTAGAGGTTCCCCCAACACCTTGGTCTTACAGTTTTTCCTCATCATGACCATGTATGACCTAGACTTGTCCCAGTCATCTGCGATCGATCATCACTCCAACCATGGTGAGTCCTTCCACTATCACAGGAGCTCTTGTAAAGGTTCTCCCCTCACCTTAGAACTTCTCTAAGGTCATCTAGAAGTCGTTCCTTTTTCTGCATGGAGGAACAGGAACCGTCCACCTATCTGTGTGTACTCGGTTCTTATTGTCCATCGCTCTCTCTGAAAAACTTCCCATCCGCTCTTTATTTAGACATATTTACAGGTTTTCCTCATCATGACCATATATGCCCTAGACTTGTTCCAGTCATCTGTGATGGGTTATAACTCCAACCATGTATGACCTAGACTTGTCCCAATCATATGTGATGGGTCATCACTCCAACCATGGTGAGCCCTTTCACCATTAGAAAAGCTCTTGTAAAGGTTGTCCCCTCACCTTGGAACTTCTCTAAGGTAATCTAGAAGTTGTTCCTTCTGCTGCATGGAGGAACGGGACCTATCCACCTATCTGTGTGTACCAGGTTCTTATTGCCCATCACTCTCTCTGAAAGATGAAAGATCCACTGTTCAGTTAGACATCTTTAGACAGTTTTACGGTTTTTCCTCATCATGACCATGTAAGACCTAGACTTGTCCAAGTCATCTGTGATGGGTCAACGCTCCAACCATGGTGAGTCTTGTTATCCTGACCTTGTATGACCTACACTTGTCTTAGTCACTTGTGCTGGGTCATCACTCCAATCGTGGTGAGCCCTTCCACCAGAAGAAGTAGAGGTTCTCCCAACACCTTGGTTTTACAGTTTTCCCTCATCATGACCATGTATGACCTAGACTTGTCCCAATCATATGCGAAGGGTCATCACTCAACCATGATGAGCCCTTCCACCATTAGAAAAGCTCTTGTAAAGGTTCTCCCCTCACCTTGGAACTTCTCTAAGGTCAACTAGAAGTCGTTCCTTCTGCTGCATGGAGGAACGGGACCGTCCACTTATCTGTGTGTACCCGGTTCTTATTGTCCATTGCCAACTCTGAAACATGTCCCATCCATGGTTCAGTTAGGCAGTTTTAGGCTCCTCGTTGCCCATTCGTAGCCATCATTTTGACCACGTAGTGATGGTCTAAGGTTGAGCCGGGACCTCCACACTGGAGCTCACCCCAGATGTTCTGTCCCACTTGTGTAGAACTGGCCACCGGGACAGGAAGTGAGAGTCATCCCGTAACCTCAATAAAGACCTGATGAGGTTCTTCTGATACTGATGTCTGCTTCATGATTGAGTTCACCTGCCCTCGTGACACAAGAGAAATGTGGGGAGAAATACCCCCAACAAGAGCACAGAACGTCACAGAGCAACACCAAAATATGTTCCGATCTGTAACGTTTATTCTTTGTGTTCCCAGGAGGCAGCGGAGCACAAGACTCCCACCTTGACCGCACACCAAGTCCTCGAGATGGACAACAACTGCAGTCATGTGACAGAAAAAATATTAAACCTCGCCCTGGAGATCATCTACCTGCTGTCCGGAGAGGTGAGGAGGATTCTGGGAGGTCACATGACACCGTTCTTATGTCTACCTATAAGGTCTTTTCATGCCTGCCTTGACCTATGTTGGGGGTGTTATATGGGACTGCTGATCATACTTATGTTACGTTCCTTTCTTGTTTTGAAGGATTATATGATTATGAAAAAGTCAGGCGAATGCGTTACGCGCGTCAAGTATTTATCAGGGGGGCGAAACTGCAGCCGAAACTCCACCCCGCCTCACGTAGCCGAAAAGAATAAAGAGCAGAAGATCCTGGAACTCACCAGCAAGATCCTTGAGCTCCTGACGGGAGAGGTGAGCGGTACCGGGAGTTCCGGGACGTGATCCGGGAACAGACAAGGGGTGTGTCTGGATGGTGACTGTATCATTGTGTGTGTCAGGTTCCTATAAGGTGTCAGGATGTCTCTGTCTATCTCTCCATGGAGGAGTGGGAGTATCTAGAAGGACACCGGGATCTCTACAAGATTGTCAATGTCTATTTCTCAATAGGGTCGGGGGAGTTTAGAAGACGGTAAAGAACTCTGTGAGGTTGTCAAGACGGAGAATTGCCAAACCTTCACATTGCAAGGTAAGAGGAGACAGAGAGAGCAGTACGGAGGGAGGCTCCGCCTACATCCCCCATCATCTGATACACACATAGAAACAATGTATTCAGTCAGTGTGTGTGTTTCCTACAGATGGATCCAGTAAGAGGAACCCACCAGAGAGATGTCCCCGCCCTCTGTACTCCCGGGATTCCACCCAAGAACACCATATGCCCCCCCACCATTATCAGGTTGGTCTCGTCAAACTTGGAGTTAGTCTCTACTAATTCATTAGCTGAAATGTTCTTAATTTCGTCATCAGAGCGAACTTCTTCTCGATATCAAAGTAGAAAATATAGAAGAAGAGGCCTATCCAGTGGTCTACCATCCATGTAAGGCAGAGGACATTCCATTGGAGATCGGCACAGGTGAGCATCAAATATGACTCGTCTCCACAACAACCCCCTCACTTCTCCCGAAGGATGAACATCATGGGTCTCGTTGGGGAGTTTGTTGCCACGTCTTTTCATGGTGGGCCACCAGCCGAATGATCTCGGGACTGAATTTAATTCGGGACTGAGTGCAGATCCCTAACATTCTTCCTCGAGTGATGTGTGCTGAGGATTCTGCAGTTTATCAGAGTCTTGTCCATCTCAGGAGGAACATCAGATGGAGTCCATCGCCAATGGAGATGTTTTGGACTTGTGCTGACCTTAGAAGGTCAAATCTATCATCTCCATCCACCAACAAATCCAAAACACTCTACAGTTTGCTTTCTAGAACCTTTACTGCTTCAAGGAAGGGGTTGAAACCCAATTCATCAAGAAGTCCTATCTTGGCATTTCTTATTGTAGGCTCCTAGTATTCACACACGCATAGGTAAAGATCTTCTGGTCTTCTTCACAGCACACAATGGTGGTATTGGTTGCAAAGTAGAGTTTGAAGCTACGTACAATGCAGGTCATGAAGCCCCATGGCCACAGGATGTCTAGATAGATGACCAGGTGGCACCTATTATAGATACTTCAGTGATGGTTGGTAGAAAGACTTTTGTGGCTTCATCTAGTGCTCCCCATTTGGCCCACCATGCTCGAGTAGACTCCTCAACAGTCTGTAAGGCTGTTCCTGACTTAATCACACCGGTCAATAGTAAAACCCAAGTGGGATTGGGTTCCGTTGTGTATTTTCTTATTCTTCTATGGAGACCCAAAACACGAGTTTCCAAGTTTCTTTAGTCATCACTAGAGGGGTCCCCAGCAGGAGGAAGGAGGTCCTGATTCCTCTATATGAGAGCTTTCCGAGTTTGGTGTTTGTATGAGGTCATTGATGACCTTGAACAGGAAACAATTGACAGTTGGTCTTTTCTTCTTCTCTTCCCAGCCGATGGAGGTGATATGGAGAAAGCCTCCGAGGAAGAGTCCTTCTTATCTCCCGAGTGTAAGACCGAAAATGAGGACTTCACAGATGATTCTTCGACAGAAAACCCCATCACTACAAATCTACGGGGAGGACTTCACCGGACGGGTAGAGTGCCAGATCCCTCACATCCCGAAGAACCTTCTCCTGATGTATCTAACACCATCACCCGAGATGTCCATCACCACGCAGAGAGGTCCCAGGATCCTTCTTTTCCCGGCAAGTCCCCGGGCAGGAATGAAGTCCATCCACACGGCGACTCTGATAAAAGTGTCATGCCGACTACACGGATTGCCGTGATAGAGAGGCCCTTCGCCTGCCCGGAGTGCGGCAAGCGATTCGCCCAGAAGCCAGATCTTGAGGAGCACCAGAAGATTCACACCATCGAGCGTCCCTTTCCATGCTCCGAGTGCTGGAGGAGCTTTTCGCACAAGTCAGACCTTGTCCGCCACCGCCGGACTCACACCGGGGAGCGGCCCTTTACCTGCTCGGAGTGTGGAAAGTGTTTTGCCCAAAAGTCGGTCCTCAACCAGCACCACAGAGTCCACAACGGCGAAAGGCCCTTCCCCTGCGACTACTGCGGCAAGTGCTTCAGCCAGAAGTCCATCCTCACCAAGCACCTGAGGACTCACACGGGCGAGCGCCCGTTCCCTTGCACCGAGTGCGGCAAATCCTTCTCTAGGAAGTCCATCTTGGTGGCGCACCAGCGCTTCCACTCCCAGGAAAAGCCGTTCCCTTGCCCCGAGTGCGGGAAGTATTTCCGACACAAGTCCCACCTGGCTGAGCACCGTAAGATTCACACGGGCGAAAAACCTTTCCCGTGCTCGGAGTGCGGAAAATGTTTCCGGTTTAAATCGGATCTGGTCCGGCACCTGAGGATCCACTCGGGCCTGAGGCCTTACCCCTGCCCGGAGTGTGGGAAGTGCTTCAAGCACCGGTCCGACCTCACCATCCACCAGAGGATCCACAGGGACGTCAAACCTTTCCCTTGCACGAGCTGTGGCAAAACCTTCGCGCAGAAGGCCAACCTTCTCAACCATCAGAGAACTCACTCTCATTGAAAGGAGAAAACTTTATTTGTAGGGCGTTTTTCATCCAAAGAGGACAAGTCCTGGCCAAAAGCACAATTCAGCAATGAACCTGTACAATGTTAGTTGCCCACATCCGTTTTCATTTTGTTTTGGACGTTGTAGAAGGAAAAGTTACTGGCTTCTCCGTACCACCAACTGCTCCTCACACAAGACGCTGAGCAACCTTAAAGGAGAACTATGGGGTTAAGGCTTTTCCCCATTGTTCTCCTAAGGGTAGCGGGAGGACACAAACTAGCGTCCTCCCGTCACCCTAGGCTCAGTATATAGGGAGCTACAGCTATACAGAGTATACTGAGACGCCGCAGCTGAAGCGGATCCCGACAATTATGTCAGGCTCCGCCCAGCTGCGTGAGTGACAGCTACCTAGAGGCGGAGCCAGCTGTACCCGCCCCCTCTCGTTCCGCCAGTCGGCGCTGGAGGATCGGAGCGGGGAGAGGGGAATCCAGCCCCTGCCCTGTCACGGCAGAGAGCCGTGACCGGGTCGAGAGGTGAGCGAACGCCGGTATATGTTCGCTCACCTCCCGATCTACTGAGCCGACCTGTGACAGTCTCATTGTCACAGGTCGGCTAGAACTATGAGGCGAGTGACAAGCCCCTCCCCCCCCCTCATAGTTCTCCTTTAATAAGCAATTAGAGACTGACCTTCAGCTGCTAGGAGCTGCTCTGTAGACATTATCCTTCAGTGCAGGCACTGCTGTAGGTCAGCACCCAACGCCCCTCCCCCTATAAAACAGTTGACTCAGCAGGTTTTATGTACATTCACTGGTGGTGATGTCACCTCACAGTAATGGATAGTCCGGGGGATTCTAGGACATCAGCAATGTCTATAGAGCCAAGGTGGTGGGGTGGCTTAGCAATGAGAGGTCCTGCGTTTGAAGCACTGGGGCCCCCGGGTATCGGTTCCTCCAAGCCTTCGTCTTCAGAACTTGTAGGCTGGCCCCACGATTGTTAGGCGTTCCTCCTCCAGATGCTCATGGAATCCAAAAACACATCAGTAGGCCATTTGGTTCTTGGCCCACGTTGGTCCTACCGTGTGTGTCGGTATTATCACGGTGGGGACATTAGATTGTAAGCTCCTCTGGTGCTAGGATTGTGCTTCCGCCATGTCTGTGACCGGACTCTGTTGGTTCAACATAAATACACAAAATAAATTTTAGCCTACAACAGAAATGGTGGTTTCCTCCTTCTTTCTTGTCCAGTGACCCCGAGGTGTCTCTGGGAGGTCCTCTGAGCTGTACACGCCTCGGACCTTTCTCAGCTTCCCATCCGCAGTCTGTAGAGTCATGTTCCCGGCCACGGCTCCCCATGGAGGAGGGACTACTAACCTATGCCCCCCCCGGCATCAAAGGGTTGAGGTCTGCCAGAAGGTAACCCCCATAACTCTACTGATGGTCCTCGGGATTTGTGGTGTTCCTCCATCACAACTGACTTGAATGACAAAGTTTTAGAAAATGTAAGAATTTCCCTTCAGGGGGTTGAGGTGCCTTGTAGGGTCTGGGAACTATAACCCATGGTGTGTGTGTGTGGTGACTGGTTTCCATGGTGTGTGTAGGGTGCTGGGACTGTCCTCCATGGTGTGTGTAGGGTGCTGGGACTGTCCTCCATGCTGTGTGTAGGGTGCTGGGACTGTCCTCCATGGTGTGTGTGGTGTTGGGTCTGTCCTCCATGGTGTGTGTAGGGTGTTGGGTCTGTCCTCCATGGTGTGTGTGGTGATGGGACTGTCCTCCATGGTGTGTGTAGGGGGCTGGGACTGTCCTCCATGGTGTGTGTAGGGGGCTGGGACTGTCCTCCATGGTGTGTGTAGGGGGCTGGGACTGTCCTCCATGGTGTGTGTAGGGGGCTGGGACTGTCCTCCATGGTGTGTGTAGGGGGCTGGGACTGTCCTCCATGGTGTGTGTAGGGGGCTGGGACTGTCCTCCATGGTGTGTGTAGGGGGCTGGGACTGTCCTCCATGGTGTGTGTAGGGGGCTGGGACTGTCCTCCATGGTGTGTGTAGGGGGCTGGGACTGTCCTCCATGGTGTGTGTAGGGGGCTGGGACTGTCCTCCATGGTGTGTGTAGGGGGCTGGGACTGTCCTCCATGGTGTGTGTAGGGGGCTGGGACTGTCCTCCATGGTGTGTGTAGGGGGCTGGGACTGTCCTCCATGGTGTGTGTAGGGGGCTGGGACTGTCCTCCATGGTGTGTGTAGGGGGCTGGGACTGTCCTCCATGGTGTGTGTAGGGGGCTGGGACTGTCCTCCATGGTGTGTGTAGGGGGCTGGGACTGTCCTCCATGGTGTGTGTAGGGGGCTGGGACTGTCCTCCATGGTGTGTGTAGGGGGCTGGGACTGTCCTCCATGGTGTGTGTAGGGGGCTGGGACTGTCCTCCATGGTGTGTGTAGGGGGCTGGGACTGTCCTCCATGGTGTGTGTAGGGGGCTGGGACTGTCCTCCATGGTGTGTGTAGGGGGCTGGGACTGTCCTCCATGGTGTGTGTAGGGGGCTGGGACTGTCCTCCATGGTGTGTGTAGGGGGCTGGGACTGTCCTCCATGGTGTGTGTAGGGGGCTGGGACTGTCCTCCATGGTGTGTGTAGGGGGCTGGGACTGTCCTCCATGGTGTGTGTAGGGGGCTGGGACTGTCCTCCATGGTGTGTGTAGGGGGCTGGGACTGTCCTCCATGGTGTGTGTAGGGGGCTGGGACTGTCCTCCATGGTGTGTGTAGGGGGCTGGGACTGTCCTCCATGGTGTGTGTAGGGGGCTGGGACTGTCCTCCATGGTGTGTGTAGGGGGCTGGGACTGTCCTCCATGGTGTGTGTAGGGGGCTGGGACTGTCCTCCATGGTGTGTGTAGGGGGCTGGGACTGTCCTCCATGGTGTGTGTAGGGGGCTGGGACTGTCCTCCATGGTGTGTGTAGGGGGCTGGGACTGTCCTCCATGGTGTGTGTAGGGGGCTGGGACTGTCCTCCATGGTGTGTGTAGGGGGCTGGGACTGTCCTCCATGGTGTGTGTAGGGGGCTGGGACTGTCCTCCATGGTGTGTGTAGGGGGCTGGGACTGTCCTCCATGGTGTGTGTAGGGGGCTGGGACTGTCCTCCATGGTGTGTGTAGGGGGCTGGGACTGTCCTCCATGGTGTGTGTAGGGGGCTGGGACTGTCCTCCATGGTGTGTGTAGGGGGCTGGGACTGTCCTCCATGGTGTGTGTAGGGGGCTGGGACTGTCCTCCATGGTGTGTGTAGGGGGCTGGGACTGTCCTCCATGGTGTGTGTAGGGGGCTGGGACTGTCCTCCATGGTGTGTGTAGGGGGCTGGGACTGTCCTCCATGGTGTGTGTAGGGGGCTGGGACTGTCCTCCATGGTGTGTGTAGGGGGCTGGGACTGTCCTCCATGGTGTGTGTAGGGGGCTGGGACTGTCCTCCATGGTGTGTGTAGGGGGCTGGGACTGTCCTCCATGGTGTGTGTAGGGGGCTGGGACTGTCCTCCATGGTGTGTGTAGGGGGCTGGGACTGTCCTCCATGGTGTGTGTAGGGGGCTGGGACTGTCCTCCATGGTGTGTGTAGGGGGCTGGGACTGTCCTCCATGGTGTGTGTAGGGGGCTGGGACTGTCCTCCATGGTGTGTGTAGGGGGCTGGGACTGTCCTCCATGGTGTGTGTAGGGGGCTGGGACTGTCCTCCATGGTGTGTGTAGGGGGCTGGGACTGTCCTCCATGGTGTGTGTAGGGGGCTGGGACTGTCCTCCATGGTGTGTGTAGGGGGCTGGGACTGTCCTCCATGGTGTGTGTAGGGGGCTGGGACTGTCCTCCATGGTGTGTGTAGGGGGCTGGGACTGTCCTCCATGGTGTGTGTAGGGGGCTGGGACTGTCCTCCATGGTGTGTGTAGGGGGCTGGGACTGTCCTCCATGGTGTGTGTAGGGGGCTGGGACTGTCCTCCATGGTGTGTGTAGGGGGCTGGGACTGTCCTCCATGGTGTGTGTAGGGGGCTGGGACTGTCCTCCATGGTGTGTGTAGGGGGCTGGGACTGTCCTCCATGGTGTGTGTAGGGGGCTGGGACTGTCCTCCATGGTGTGTGTAGGGGGCTGGGACTGTCCTCCATGGTGTGTGTAGGGGGCTGGGACTGTCCTCCATGGTGTGTGTAGGGGGCTGGGACTGTCCTCCATGGTGTGTGTAGGGGGCTGGGACTGTCCTCCATGGTGTGTGTAGGGGGCTGGGACTGTCCTCCATGGTGTGTGTAGGGGGCTGGGACTGTCCTCCATGGTGTGTGTAGGGGGCTGGGACTGTCCTCCATGGTGTGTGTAGGGGGCTGGGACTGTCCTCCATGGTGTGTGTAGGGGGCTGGGACTGTCCTCCATGGTGTGTGTAGGGGGCTGGGACTGTCCTCCATGGTGTGTGTAGGGGGCTGGGACTGTCCTCCATGGTGTGTGTAGGGGGCTGGGACTGTCCTCCATGGTGTGTGTAGGGGGCTGGGACTGTCCTCCATGGTGTGTGTAGGGGGCTGGGACTGTCCTCCATGGTGTGTGTAGGGGGCTGGGACTGTCCTCCATGGTGTGTGTAGGGGGCTGGGACTGTCCTCCATGGTGTGTGTAGGGGGCTGGGACTGTCCTCCATGGTGTGTGTAGGGGGCTGGGACTGTCCTCCATGGTGTGTGTAGGGGGCTGGGACTGTCCTCCATGGTGTGTGTAGGGGGCTGGGACTGTCCTCCATGGTGTGTGTAGGGGGCTGGGACTGTCCTCCATGGTGTGTGTAGGGGGCTGGGACTGTCCTCCATGGTGTGTGTAGGGGGCTGGGACTGTCCTCCATGGTGTGTGTAGGGGGCTGGGACTGTCCTCCATGGTGTGTGTAGGGGGCTGGGACTGTCCTCCATGGTGTGTGTAGGG